GAGCGGCGATACTCCGAACTGTCCAAACCGAGCCGTTATAAAGGCCTCCCCTAGCTGGGCCCACTCCCCAGTTTTCATGGTATGGCCGCCGCAACAAAATCACCAGGGTACTCTCACGTGACGACAAGAACCCACATGCTGACGTGGCAATCTCAACACCATACACGTATACCACAAAAACAGGAATTAAAAAAGGGAAAAAAAAAGGAAACTCTCAATTTTTATTCATCCAAAGGAATTGCACAAGCACCAAGGTCATGTTCGTATAAGCCCCTCAATCCTCTCTATTACACTCATAATAGTTTCATAATTAACTAACTATAAAATCAGCCACAATTCTTTCTCTCACCCTCTCATAACTGAGAATAATTAATCAAGGAGCACGATTGACATCACGTACGAGCTTAATTTTTCCTCTCATCTCTACAATTTAACGAGCTGACCAACGACCAAAATAGATGACAGACAACCTTCTTCTTCTTCTTCTCCTTCTCTCTAGACCTCTGCCTCTTCATGAGGGCCTGTAGTGTTTTCCTTGTTGGTGCCATTGTTTGTTAACTCACATTCCTTGTTATAATCTCCTCCTTCCTCTTTGTTCGCATCGATGGGGTACACCTCTACCCCAATCTTCACCATGTTTATGATATGTTCAGGCACATCGTGCTCTTCTACCACAGGTTTTGTCTTCTTGGCGTCCATATACACGGTGTAGAGAACCATCTGGATCAATCCGAAAGCGAATCCAAGCACATTGGGAATCTATTTCCATAGAATTGAAGAAGAAAAAAAAAGGAGATATGTCAACTTGAACAAAATACTAATATCTCCGTAATATAATGAAGAGTGAGGATATTACCGCTATGTACTTGTCGTGTGACAGGAATCCGTAGAGAAACCATGTAACTGCACTGAGCGTAAGGAATAGAGAGAGAGAGAAGGGCATGAACTCGACACTCTTTGTTTTTATGACAAGCCTCTGAAGAATGGACAGAATGTACACAATCATCATATAGAATACATACTAAATTAAATTTAAGAAAATTTTCAGCGCAGTGTCTGTCGACGATTACTCACAATGATGCTCAACGGTGCAACGAACACCAACACCGAGAATCCCACACACATCCATCCGAGGCTCGTGACTCGATCAGCCCCCTTAGCAAAGACTAGGCTCACTAATACTATCAATCCGAATATCCCAACATTCAATAAGAGGAGTAATTTCACGGTAGAGACCTACAGGTCAAATCACAATTGAGTTCATGTTTTCATCTCAGAATAATTAATGATAAGAATGTCCTCATATAAATAGTGAATATTAATGTAGTATATGTATACTGGGCTAATATAGGTAAGATTTGTACCTTAGCTTCTTTAGGTGCATAGATGAGGTATATGATGATATATATGGTCTCTATTATGCATCCGAGTCCGTTAATGGTGAGTAAGAACTCTGATTCAGTCTTGATAAGTGCATAGTATATCCAAAGCATAGCGCTGAAGAGCGCGACGATATAGGGAATCGATTGAAACCCTTCGGTTGATTTCTTTCTGTATACTCTCCAAAATGTTGGCCTGCAATTAATCATAATTATATGTTCAAAATTTTCTTTCAAAAAAATTTAAGGATGTAATCTTGATTAGTTGATTTCTAGTGGTGCTTACGCTGGAGCAAGGTATACCATGAATGAGATGACGTTACCTGTAAATAATCACAAATTTAAACAATGATAATATGTTAGATTTTTGTAATATTTGCAGAAATTGGGATATATGGCCGGAAGTCTTTATAATGGTAAAAAAGCTAAACTTTCTGTAACCATAGCTAACTTGGCCAGTCTTGGCTAAAATGTAACCATGTTGACAAAAGGGGTAGATTTGGAAACAGAAATCATGCAAGGGAGGAAAGGCAATTTTTGCTAGGCATGGTAGAAGAGACTCAGAACTACCTTACTCGTACTTGAAAAAACAAATTAATTAATGGATTTGCATGCTCCTTACTTAGTTAAAAACCAATTTCCTTCAATCTTATAACCTATATGCATTAACCAAATTCTAGTACGTGCAAAGAGAGAAGAAGAAGATGATGAAGAAGAGCTTAAATTCCTTGATCAGTACCTAGAACACCGAAGGTGATGGCCCAATGATTGGTTGTCGATAAACCAAACATTTTCTCCTCTTGAAAATCTCAAGAACAAAAATGGTTAGATGGTAGAAAACGAAGAATAAGAAATCAAACGAGGGTCTTTCTCCTTGAAAGAAGAAGAAACCCCTTAGCCTTTGATCCTCTCACAAAACAAAATGCTTAATAAAGGAGGCTCAATATAGCCCCCTTAAGTGTATAGAGAGTACTAAAAGAGGTGGTGAGAGCTTGTGGTCCTTGGCCTTGAGGGAGATTGAGGAGGCCTAGCTCATTATATAGAGCAAGGGAGTGGGGAGTGTGCACTGCCTCATTTTGTTGACGTGAATGAGGTGGCGTAAAGCAAATATAGCAATTAGTTTATTATACAAGTAGAAAACAAAATTATGGGGTTTTAGGACAAGCACTTATTCCTAACAAGAAAGCTTGTTGTTTAAACTATTGTTTTTTTACACATATCACCTAGTTTTTGTTATTGAATTGCATTTGTATGCCTAACTTGTCCACATTAATAACCTTAATACCAAAGCTATAAATTTTGTTCGTTGCACGGATAGCTAGTGAGGTACATTCAACATGAATTTGAGCATAAAATGTGGAACTTCAACCGAGTTTGGAAAAATGACTACAAAATATGACTTTTCTGCAAATTAAGTGCAATCTTATTAACAATGTTATTTTGTTAGAATAATAAATAAATACAAAAAACGTTACTCCTTATAGCTCCTTTCACGTGACTTCTTTTAGCGTTTTCTTCCATCATCATCACATCCTCACTTTGCACTACTCTAAAACAAAAAATGTTTGATTAATATAAATCAAGCATATGTGGCCCCACATATCAGCCAATGGGTGACCATTCGGTGCTCCTTGGAATAGGTTCCAACAATTAAAAACCCTACTTCTCTCCATGACTTCCTTCATGCTCTACCTTTACTTCTCCAATATTTCCTCTTAAAATGATTTCTTTTTTCCTAATATCTTTAAATTTACATGTAACACCCTATAAAATATGTTATTACTTTTCTAAGTTCTCAAATTGTTTTATTTCTTCAATATTTCCTCTCAAGTTGAAGTCCACGTAAAATGACATGCTAGTTACATTGAAGAAAAGTTACATTAATGAAGAATTAATTATAGTGAATAAAATAGCTTACTACATATGTAAGTCTAGGGATACAGAGAAAGGTGATAGTTTTAACCCTAAAACTTTCTAATATCGCTAGTTGGTAAGTTGAACACACTTGTGGTGAGTGCAACACTCCACCCACAATGAAAAAAAATAAAAATAAAACTGAATGTCCTCATTCTAAAACAATGCAAAAGTTAAGGGCTTGCACTTAATTTTGTTGTAGTAATTTTTCTGCAAGGAAATAACTCATCAAAGTCCATAATAATGCTCTCCTTGTTGATGACAACAAGGTTGTCCTAATCACAATCAATCCTTTCTTAATCAAGAATTATTGGGAAATTAATTCTTACTCTATCTTGTACAATTAGTCCACTATCTTTTCTCATTAGGAAATTAGGGTTCAAGCTAGCTAGGGTTAGGTTAACATGCATGGTTAAAGTTTGCTTATCCCGGTTACATGCAAGGGTTGAGTTCCTTGTATTTGAAGCTTTTTCTTTGCCGTTATAAAGGCAAATGTAAGACAAAAGAAAAGACTATCGTTCCTTTTGTTTTCTTGTTAATTATGTCCTCTTCAATTTATTAGCTACAGTTTCAGGGTTTGTTGAATCTGAAAGCTAGCTGGAGATCGATCTGTTTCATATCTCATCATCAACCAACTCTTTTAAGAAGAGTTATACATGTAGACTTCTTCTCATCAAATTAACCCCTAATTTCAGGGGCTTTCATCAAGTAATGATCTCGTGTAGTGCTTAGTACAAGATGTTGAATCAATTCTACTTCATGGTATTGTTTAATGTTGGTGAACTAAAAGAAAATGGCTAAAAGAAAATGTCATAATATTAATAAAAAAAAAATACATGTTCTTTTTCTCTCATATTTGTCTAGTATTACATAAAATATACCCGATTGTGCACTATAAATGGGAAATATGTTGATCGAAAGAATTAAAACATATGGGTCATGTCGTGTGGTGAGTTCGTTATGAACATTGAATATCCTCTTATGGCTAGATGTTTGTGTGGTATACAGACTGCGGCGCAGTCAAATTGCCTGGGCTTCTTGGCTTCTTCTTGGTGGTGGAGCAAAATGCCTTCTAGAGACTTATATATGATCACATAATTGCATTAGTTTTCCAATCCTACAAGCTAGAATTATTAATAACTCGTCACAATTTCCCTCTATTTTTAGTTTTTTTTTGAGCTGAAAAGCAGGGTAAAAAGCCCTGCTCATTAAAGATTTTATTAATAAACACAACTACTACAATACTAGTTGAAGAACCACATAGGGTGAAGCAGGTAAGGAGCGGACCTGTGTCGTCACCTACCAAACTGGACCCATAACGGAACCTCAACTAGATAGCACAAAGATACATACTTACATACTAAATTTCAGGAAGAAAACATACTTAGAAACAAAACAACTTAGTTTTATGAGGTAGAACATCAGTAGATAACCGACAAAAGGTACATTTCCCAGTGGCTTCTGAGTTTAGAGGGCATGAGGAAGGCAATCCCCAGTGGCATCAGCGCTCTTATTTGCAAGCTCCTGGAGTCCGACACTATTAGCCGCCCGGCGAAGTCTCCTTTCCAATCTCTCATCCGCGGCACCTGCCCAAAAAGTAGTATATCTACCTATATTAGAAGCAGTTTGTAGAGGATCAGGTTGTACATCCTTAAAAATGAGTGCATTTCTACTAAACCATATCCACCAGCAAGTACAAGGCAGCAGAATCTTCCAAATGGTTTTTGCATCCTTACTTAGAATGGTAGATTTATGAAAAAATATCAAATCCTCAACCGATTTCGGCCAACTGTTGGTAGGGATAGAAGGGAAAATGAATGACCAGATAGCTTGAGCAAATGGGCATTTGATATACAGGTGTTCGTGAGTTTCAACATCAGACTGACAGAAGGAACATCTAGGATCACCTGTCTAGCCTTTGATAACCAAGTTTGCCTTCGTATTTAACTTCTTGTTAGTGATGAGCCAGAAAAGAACTTTGACCTTACTAGGGATAGGAGATCTCCAAATCATGCTATAGTACTTGGATTTTATACCCCCTGAGTTGACAAGGGAGTAAAAAGATTTAACTGTATATATCCCCGATGGGACCAGAGTCCACCACAGCTCATCTGGACCAGGAGAAATTGTGATATTTGAGGAAGTTAAATGAGAATGGAGAAGGTTTAGATCTGACCTTTCTGAATACGAAATACCTCTTCTGGTAAGGGGGTGCCAGGTCCATGAATAACTTAATTGTGATATTTTTAGTTTTTTAACAAATAAATAACTTAATTGTCAACATGAAGAGAAGGCGTGGATTGGTTTTGCGACCCTTGGTAATAGGGATTGTAGGTACCAATCACATTTTGCATATATGAAGTCGTAATGCTTCATAAAATTTTCACCCTGTCGCATATTTGATAAACCTTTTTTGAAGATTCCAATATTAATTATTTTCCTAGCATGCAATTAAATTTGTTAGTAAATTTTCATCATTTTCTTAATTTATCATCCATTTTGTAGATCAATTGTGATGCGGTACTAGTTTAAAAATATGTTATAAACTAGGGGATGTAAGTGATGGTTTTAGAGTACCTCCTCAAACACATACAATATTGCATGAAGTAGTAACGCTTCACCTTGAGACAGGAGGCAATAAATGTTTCTGTTTGTTTCACTATGAGAGGGCTCATGTGACAATGAATTATCTACCTATAATATATGTAGGCCTGTCCATCCGGCCCGGATCGGACTGGGTAAAAACGGAGCCCGAACCCGGGCCCGGTTGCCTCAGGCCGAGCCCGGGCCCGGGCCGGCCCGGTTTTCTTTCATTTTAAAATTTTAATTTTCCAAGAATACAAAGCAAAAAATAAACACAATTTTGATAAAAAAATTATATTATTAATCAATTGTAATTATATAATTTACAAATATAAAAGTTTAGAGAAATTAAAATGATAAAATGATATAAAATAATTGTAGAATTTGTAGAAACAAACAAAATTAAAAATAATTGTAGAATTCAAAGAGTCCCACAACGCCCAAGGCTCAATCAAAGACCTCTAAATATATATGTTGTGGGGGTAGGGTTTGAATCACTAACATCCTCTCCAAACTCCTAAATTTTACCACTAGACTA